AGATTGCATGGGATGATATAAATAGGATAGGATGAGCTCATAGGAAAATAGATACTATAAAGTGAGATGGGGTGGGATGAGAAAAAATAATATAGATTAGGATAAGGTGGGGTGAGATGAGACGAAATGAGTTTAAGTGAGGTGAGATATGTTGAGATATGATGAGTTGAGATGGGATACGATGATATGAACTGAGATTAAATATAATCGTATTGGATGAGATGAGTTGAAACACGGTGAAATGAATTTTATTGTCACATTATGTTCCACTTTCCCATTCAATAATAAATTATGGCTTACTCACATTAAAAACAAGTAGCACCGTCAATTGTTTCTCAAATACGTGTTTGCCTCATCTACATGATTTTGGAAAGGACCTGTTTGTTTTCGAATGCACACTTGCCCTGTGACACCTTGACATCCATGGCAATATAGCCATCTGGCAGCTTGTCGCCAGAATCCTTCGAATTCTGTAGTCTAGCAAGGCTAAGTGGAACTCAACGACTTTGTGGGGTCTACTCATTTCATTGAGGTATATATCGCTGTCAGACCTTAAACACATTATATTCTTCGCCTGACGATAAGGGTATGACTTTTCTCAGTAATGAGTACCTTTTAATTCAACTGAGCACTTTTCAAGCTCGTCATATAAGGTCTGAGGCCCATTGATGAAGTAAAACAAGGCGCCTACAACAGAGCAGAGATAAAATTCTGTTTCTATCACAATTATTTTGTGTAAACTTGTCTGTGCCAAGCAATTCTGGAATGGTTGACCGACCAACAAACTACTTTCTCCCTCACATGTATGGTGACCATTGACCGCTTTGTCCAGAGTTTCTTGTCACTCCATTTCTGTCGCAGACATTGGTTGCTGCATGATGTATCCACTGGGAGTCATTGATGATTCATCCATTTATTCAGTTTAAAATGCCCAATGACTATAGCATGCTGAATGAAACGCTTCGAGTTCCTCATTAAGCGTAGCATACGTAGCTTCGTTGCCACAAACTCTATTTTTGGTGAGCCGCATCTCCATGCTGCCCCATTGTCTGCCCGGCAGGTGCCGTGTTCAAGGACGATTAATTAACATTCTACTGGGGTCACGCTTAACGCCAATCGCATATATCAGATATACAAGCCTACATACTGTAACTTCCCATTCACTCTAGGCTCAAACTTTTTTTTAATTTATTTTATTCTTTACATCAATCCAGTCAAGATTTGAAATGGAGCATACCTTCAGCCAATAAACAGTTTTTGAGCAAAATAAGGGTAGAAATGCAATTTATCCTAGTTTTCTACCTATTGTCAGCTGCATGCCCACTATACTAATGAAAATTTTAATCCCGAAAAAGCTTTCGCAAAAACATGAATCTGTCTTTTATTTTGCTTAAGGATGAAACATTTTATTTAGCTTGTCGGATAGCAAAATAGAAAACAGCCCACAAAACCTAATGGTTTTTACAACTTAACTGGCGTTAGATTTGGCCATTGTTGCACATGGTGATGCTAGTATATTAATCTCAAAGTTTCTGTCTACACGACAAGTAGGCTGACTGACAATGACTAAGCAAGGAGTGTGGCAAATTAATAAAGAATATTAGCAATACTTATTAATAAAGGTAAGGAGAAAAAGAACGTAAAAGCACAAAGTAAAAAAGTCATGCTTGAGCCTAATCAATTAGGCTAGCATACAAGGACTACACTAAACACGTGCAACTTCTACTATTGATATTTCCCTTTTCACACCCTTCCAATATTTATTTTGCTAGATCGGCCTTGCTAAAGCTAAAATTGAGATCCATCTTAATATATCCCTTTTTAAATATAAGTATAACAGTTACATTTAATTAGTTCGATTCAATCTACTATTCCCCCAAACACCAATTGACAAATTGTTAACCTTTGCTCATTATATATTTTATTTAAGATCTCTTTGTTTCACGGCCTGGAAGCCCAGCATAGATGCATTAGGATCAGAACAATGGCTGCTAGTCTAAAAGTGCTTATCTGTCGAGTAGAAGCACAGACGTACAGCAACAGGCTACCTGAAGCTAGACTATTTTACGCTTAACTCTCAGAAAAACTCGCAATCTGAAAATAAAACATGATTTAGGTTTATTAGTGTTCTTGTCTTCCTGGCCATTAGAAGGACCACTCTAGTACGCTCACCATAGATATGTGAAGCTCATTTCGAGAAAACAACTTTCTCTTCCTTTATTTCATCATAACTTTCTATATAAGGGCTTTATTTGCTATTTAGTGAAACCTAATTCCGGGCTCAAAACATTTGAGTATAAGGCATATACTGTAAAAAAACTAATTGCATTCGAAAATTAGCATGTTTACGATAAGGACATAGTTTATATCAACCTGTTTTATGGGCGTCTTCTAACTTTTCTTCGTCATCACTATCACGAATCTACTAATACTCTATCTTTCTCATCGCAGATATGCTTACTGCTTCTACATCCAAGAGTAGTCGGGCTTTCGAGAGAAGACGAAGATGGGGAAGCGACAGAAGCCGAACGCCAGCTAGAAGATAAACTTAACCCGGCGCAGAGAACCTTTTCCTCCATGATCCCTTATACAAATCCGCTTGGTGGGAATGCTCCAACTACAAGTCAAGCTTGGTCGGATAGCGTATACTCAACTTCCGTGCGGATTCAGGCGCTAGCAACATTGAGATGCCTATTTCCGCACTACGCCATACATCTGCTACCTGACCTATCAATCATCCGACAGGCTTTACTCTTATGTCTGCAGGTCAGTTCATTTTCACAGCACATGATTTTAGTTCAAAGAAAAAAGTTAAAGATTTCGACAAGTTGGCCCAACGCTCAGTGTGAGCTGGAACAATATTTTGATCTTTTCAGAGAGCTTGATAGTTGTACTTAACTGCAGGGCCAAAGAAAATATATAACTCCGAAATTAATCAAAAAATGCCTTGAAGTGATGTACTAATAATTGAAATAGTAGGTGTATGCGTAAACCAAGACAAAAGCTAAATCGAGCGAACGAAAAAAAGATGAAGTACGAAATTGAAATTTAGCTTAAACTTGATTCCTTAGCAGAAGGATAAAGTAGTAGTCTAGGGCCGAGTATATACATTAAGTTTACCTTTACAGTAAAATAATGTAATCTACATCTATATTAGCAGTAATTATCTGTGTCCAATTTATGTACTTTGGATTCCTTAGGTACATTCTTTTAGACGATAATAAATAAGCATTTAATTAGAAGTAAGTTGACCTTGTTTTCGCTACTTGGTAGTATTGCAGGAAGACCTAAAGAAACATAATGTGTCTAGGATCTATAGTACCCATGACGAGTTCCAGCGTCGAACCATGGACTTGGTAAATTCTCAGACATTTCGCCGGTATCGCCAGTGAGTCTTGCCATTCTTCATGGACCATGTCTATGATAAACTCGTTTATTATCTTCCAGCTATCTCCGTTCTTCATCTCATACCTCGTGCATCTATCCATAATGCCAAATCTATGACATTCTTATGCCCAACCTATGTCTACCAACTCCCAAGTGTTATAATTTTTACAATTGATCCAAACGTTGAAAGGGATAAGGAAGTGAACTTATCCTCACTCCCTAATTCCAAAACTATGGACCTCTAGAGGAATAGGTTAAATTTTTTCCTTGGTAACAAAGGGAACGCTTCAGAGGATATTCTTATGAAGGTTGTGGATATATCGGAGAAATATCCAGAAGAGACCAATCGCTATTTGGTAGTTGTTCCGGTCGTCTAGCCTGCTTCACATTTCTCTTCATTACAACCTTCGCTCCCCATTTATCCGCCCGAAAGAATATTGAATCAGTCCCTTGTAATTTTTTATCTATATCTTCATTAATCCGTTACGGTTTATTAGCTCTCGATGTGCCATAGTTCTCGGGATTATTTTTATTTCTATCTCCCACTTGGTCTCTTCTAGATGTTTCTCCAAGATATTAAAAACCTACACATGATTATCTTCTGAAGCGTTTCCTTCGAGACCAAGGGAAAAATTAAACCCATTCCTCTAGAGAACCATGGTCTCGGAATCAAGAGGGACTGAGGATAATTTCACTTCCTTATCGTTTGGAGCAATTATAAAAAAATTATAGCATTTGGGAGTTGGTAGACAAGAGATTAAGGCATAGAAATGTCATATACTAGGAACTATGGATGTAAGAACGAGGGATGCGATGGAGACCAGAGATAGTTGGCAAATAGTAAACAGATTTGATGATAGACATGACTTGACCATGAGATTTTCCCGGTGAACATACTGAAAGGTAATAAGGGAATCTACAGCGTCATTTTA